TTTTCTTCGTCTTCGGGGCCTACTATGATGGAAATAGTATTACTTTTTCAGTTGTCCCACAGTTCTCTTAACTGTCAGACATTTAAAAGGCTGTTTTTTACTATTGGTTTTCTGATTGGTTTACAGTGATATCTCGGTTCTCGAACGCCTCGGTTTTCGACCAAATCGGTATTCGACCAGGAGATTTCGAGAAATTTTGTCTCGGAATCCGAACAAATATTTGGAACTCGAACTTCCGAGATGAGCCGAGTTGAGCCGAATGGCGTTCATTCGGCCCAGCGCGCCTTGCTTGCATCATCAGTGTGAGTGCAGAGAGAGAGTCACGCTTTGTGGAGTCACGCTTTCCTATTGGGTTTCATTGCTTCGGTTCTCGAACAATTCGGTTCTCGACCATCCTCCTGGAACGAATTATGTTCGAGAACCGAGGTATCACTGTATTTTTTTCTACCCTGTCTTCTAATTTACTGATCCAGTCTTCAGCTTCTTCTACTCTGCTAGTTAGTCCTTCCAATGTGTTCTTAATTTCTGCTATGTAATTCTTCATTTCCACTTGGTTTGTTTTCATTGTTTTTATATGTTTACTCATGGTGCTGATGTCCTTACCATGATGTTGAGTTTCTTCAAGATCATGGCTCTGAACTCTTCCTCTGGTAATTTGCTTACCTGCATTTCATTTATCTCGTCTTCGATAGAGTTATCTTGTTCTTTCGTTTGGGATTTGTTTCTTTGTTTCACCATTTTGGCTCTCTCAGTGGGTTTCGGAGCCTGCCAAAATTTTCCTGTGGGTGTTGGTGTTCTGCTGTTTGTGGCCTCCTCTGCTGTGTTTGGATGAGCTTGGGTGGGCCCACGTTAAACACCACTGTCATGTCTTACTTTCCAGGGTAGATTTGCAAGGAAAGGTTCAGTTATCCTCTAGCTTTTTCCTGGTGGCTAGTAGTGTCAGTTACTCAGTGCCTTGGAATGTAGTCCTGGTGTTCTGCCTAAGAGGATTTCCAGAGGGTGGGATAGATGCTGGTTATTAATGAGCCTCAATTTGCATTTCTTTGCCTCACCTGGGAAAGGCTGATTTTCTGAGCAGGAAGGAGGGTGGGCTGCTGCTTTTCCCCACAGCTTTGCGAAAGAGCACACTGGTTACCATTCTTTGTTGACACAACTCAGCAAAAACTCTGAGTGTTTTCCAAATCTTGTGTGTCCCCACTGAGTTCCAGCCCAGTTTGCCCTCACTCTGCTGTAGCCCCCAAGTGAGTGTTTATGGCTAGTCTAGTGCTCTTCCTGGCTCTCTGTGCTGTGGAGCAAGCACTTCTTCATTCCCCAAGGTCGCTGCTCACAGCTACGACTGCTGCTGTTCCTTGGCTCCCAGCCCGCCACCCTCTCGTGCCTCCGCAGATCCTAACAGTGTCCCTGGTTATATGGTCCTGTACTGCTGCGTGTCTGTTGCCTTTTTCTGAGGATTTGTCTTTATTTTTGTTGTAATTCTTGTTTTGTCCTGGGAAATTGTCTGTGTAGCTTCTATTCATTCCGTCTCCATTTTCACATCCTCTATGTCTATCTTTTGTGCAGCTGGGTAGCATAGGTCTTTCTGGTGCCCTTGTACCCTGTAGGTCCCACGGGTAACAGGATCACACAGTCCCTTTCAGGACCTGGCTCTATGCCTGTTATGGGCTTCTGGGTCGCAGAGGCCTCTCTGGTTCTTTCGCACGCCACAGGCCATGTGGGTAACTAGATCACACAGTTCGTGCTGGGTCGCACAGTCCACTCTGGTGCTTCAAAGCCCCACAGGTCCCACAGTTAACTAGATCATATAGTCTCTGCTGGGTCGCACAGGCCTCTCTGGTGCTTTAGCACCCCACAGGTCTTGCGGTAACTGGATTGCACAGTCCCTACTGGGTTATACATGCCTCTTTGGTGCCCCTACACCCTGCAGTTTTTGTGGGCGGGCAGCTGGATTGCACCAGTCTCTCTTGGGCTTCGGCTTCTCACTGTTCTTGTGGGCTACTGGACCGCACAGGCCTCTGTGGAGGCCCATGTCCTGCTGCTGGAAGCTGGGGAGTACTGCTGCCCCTGCCGTGTGGGGCTCAACTCCTCCTCAGCTTTTGCTGTAGTTTTTGGGGATGGGTCCCAGCTGCTGGTCTGTGCTTCTGTTACCTGAGGATGGATGTCTGCTCCCCAGCCTCTGTTACTTGGGGTATATCTGGACTCTGATCGGGCTGCTACTATGGGGGATGGTGCTGGGCCACAGGCTGTCTGTGGCTTCTGTGACCAGCATCTTGGGAGCTCCACTGCTGTGCACTGGTCAGTGTTGACACAGAGTGTCCACTGGTCCAATGGTGCTGGTGGGCTCAGGTTGCTGGGCCCTAGCCGCTCCCACTGCCTCCTCCCAGGGAAGACCTGGGATCTTCCAAAATGGTGGGACCTCCCCACAGCGCAGGGATAAACACTCTGAAAGGCTGGTTACCCCGGTAGCCGGCTCCTGTCCACAGCACAGGAACCTTCTGCTCTGAGGCTTTGCACTGCTCGGATTTTGTCGTCCACCTTCACGTCCACTCACACTCTATCATACACTCACCCTTTCCTTGGTCCTGTCTGCCACCATCTCTCTTGTATATTTTTTCTCTTTAGCATTTTTTGTAGTGTGGTTTGGTGATGGTAAATTCCTTTAGCTTTTTTTTTTTTTTTTTTTGTCTTTAAAGCTCTTTATTTCTTCTTCAATTTTGAATGAAATTTTTGCTTGGATAATGTAGTCTTGGATTTAGACCCTTTCCTTTCATTGCTTTGACACTCCATATCACTCCCTTCTTGCCTGCAGTGTTTCTATTGAGAAAGTATCATACAGTCTAATGGGAGCTGCCTTGTATGTAACTCTCTGTTTCTCTTTTGCTTTCTTTAAGATTCTTTGTCTTTAATGTTTGCCATTTTAATTATGATATGTCTAGCTGTGGGTTTCTGGAGTTCATCTTGGTTGGGACTCTGTGTTTTCTGGACTTGTGTGACTTTTCCTTCACCAAATTAGGAAGTTTTCTGTCATTATTTCTCCAAACATGTTCTCCATTTCTTTCACTGATTCTTCTCCTTCTGGTACCCCTATGATGCAAATGTTGTTATGTTTTGTGTTGTGCCAAATCTCTCTTAAACTCTACTCCTGTTCCCCACCCCGCCCCATTTGCTGGTCTCTTTGGGCATTTTTTTCTACCTTGTCTTCTAACTCACTGATTTGGTCTTCAGCTTCTTTTAATCTACTATTGAATCCTTCTAAGGTATTTTTCATATCAACTGTGTTGTTTATTTTGTTTTGATTTTTATTCATATCTTCTACCTCTTTTTTTAAGCTGAAGTAGTTCCTGCTGAGCTCTTTATAATTCTCACTACGTTGTTTGTAGTTCTCACTTAATTGTTTGAGCCCCCTTAAAGTCATTGCTTTGGCCCTGGCCAGTTTGCTGAGTGGTTAGAATATTGGCCTGTGGACCAAGGAGTCCTGGGTTCAATTCTAATCAAGGGCATGCACCTGGGTTGTGGTTTGTCCCCAGCACCAGTTGGGGTCTTGAAGTAGGTAACCAATTGATGTGTCTCTCTGACATTGATGTTTCTCTCTCTCTCTCTCTTTCTCTCTCTTTCTCTCTCTCTCTTTCTTTCTCTTTCTCTTCTTTCCTCTCTCCCTCCCCTCTATCTAAAGATAAACAGAAAATTATTCTTGGGTGAAGATTTAGGAAAAAATCAAACCATTGCTTTGAATTATTTATCTGACAAATTGCTCTCTTTTATTTTATGTACTTCATTTTCTGGTGATTCCATTCCTCTTTTTCTTTCATTTGGGTGTTGTTTCTTTGTCTCCCCATTTTAGCCATCTGATAGTTCTAGACCTGGTGAGGGATGTTGGGATGTGTAGGCATCTCAGTGTGTATCAAGGAAGACTACTGTGCCTCCCAGACTGTTCTGGTGCATGGTGCCTCTTGCCTGCTGTGTGTCCTGGAGGATTGACTACTGGAATCTTGTATTGGTCTGTCCTGGTAGGCACTGCTGCTATAGCCATGAGCCCCATTGGTGCCACCGGCAGCTGTATTGCTTGGGCCCCACCTGAGCCGCAGGTCCCACCATTGCCACAAGCAGCTGTATTGTGTGGGCCTCACTGTAGATGTGGGCCCCTTTGGTGCCACAGCTGGCTGTATCATGCAGGCTTCACTGGAGCTGCGGGTCCCACTGGTGCCACTGGCTGCTGTATTACCGGAGCCCCACTGGAGCCATGGGCCTCGCCACCAGCAGCTGTGGAGCACTGCTGCCTGATGGGCTCATTTTCTTCTCAGCCTCTGTGGATGCTGTTGGGGATGGGTCTCAGCTACTGATCTGTGCTGCTGCTGCCTGGGGATGGATGTCTGCCCCTGAGCCTCTGTTACAAGGGGTGTGTCTCAGCTCTGATTAGGCTGCTGCTGTGGGAGATGGTTCTCGGCTCCTGCTTGCAGCTTCTGCAACAGGCACCTTGACAGAGCAGCTACTGTGCACTGGTCTGTGTTGACACAGTGGGGTCCACTGGTCTGATGGTGCAAGGTACAATGGTGGGTTCAGGTGGCTGGGCACTTGCCGCTCCTGCGGCCTCCTCCCAGAAAAAAAAAACAAAGATCTTACAAATAGTGAGGCCTCCTGGCCACACAGGGAGAAGTGCCTTGATGAGCAGCTTACTGTGGTAGCTGGCTGCTCCCGGTCCACAGCACAGGAACCTTCTGCCCCATGTTTCTGCACTGCTCGAGGTTGCTTGTCCACACTCATGTCCACTCACTCTCTCACACTCACTCACACTTTTACACACTCACCCTCACTCCGGTCCTGCCCACTGCCATCATAACTCCAGTTCTTGATGTCTGAGATTTTGCTGCCTAAGTTCGTTCGTTCTTTCTCCTTCCTTCCTTCCTTCCTTCCTTCCTTCCTTCCTTCCTTCCTTCCTTCCTTCCTTCCTTCCTTCCTTCCTTCCTTCCTTCCTTCCTTCCTTCCTTCCTTCCTTCCATTTTATTTTTTGGTGCACCATTTCTGGAAGTACTGCAATACCAGGTCAATGTGTAGAGTGGATGGATCAAGCTCCTATTTCATCTCCTAATCCCAAAAATCCATTTAATATATTGTCCTCAGATAGAGGACGTATCAGATATTAAACTGATAAGAACAGATATTGCACTTGATCTTAGAGAAAAGGCTGAGAAGTGATGCTGCCTACATTTTTTCTAGGATTTTTATGGTTTCACAAGTTACACTTAAGTCTTTTATCCATTTTGAGTTTTTTTGTGTGTGTGTATGGTGTAAGTTGTAGTCTAGTTTCATTTCTTTGTATGTTGCTGTCCAATTTTCCCAGCACCATTTATTGAAGAGACTGTCTTTTCTCCATTGTATTCTCTTGCCTCCTTTGTCAAATATTAATTGCACATAATGCCTTGGGTCAATTTATGGGTTCTTTGTTCTGTTCCTTTGATTTATATACCTGCTATATTGCCAGTACCAGGCTGATTTGATTACAATGGCTTTGTAGTATAACTTGATATCCAGTATTGTGATCCCTCCAACTTTGTTCTCTTTCAAGATTGCTGTGGCTATTTGGTTTTTTTTTTAGTTCCAAATAAACTTTTGGAGTATTTGTTCTGGATCTGTGAAATATGCCATTGGTACTTTAATAGGAATTGCATTGAATCTATAGATTGCTTTGGATAGTATGGACATTTTAATGATATTGATTCTTCCAATCCATGACCATGGTATATGCTTCTACTTTTTTTATATCTTCCTCTATTTCTTTTTTAAATGTCCTGTTGTTTTCTATGAACAGGTCTTTTGCTTCCTTGATTAAGTTTATTTCTAGGTATCTTAATTTTTTTTTGTTGCAATGGTAAATGGATTTTTTTTCTACTTTCTTTTTCTGAGTGTTCATTATTGGTGTATAAGAATGCTATCAATTTCTAGATGTTAATTTTTTTATCCTGCTACTTTGCTGAATTTATTAAATTTATTGAATCTAGTAGAATTTTGATAGAATCTTTAAGGTTTTCTATGTATAGTATCATGTCATCTGCAAATAATGACAGTTTCACTTCCTCCCTTCCTATTTAGATGCCTTTTATTTTTTCTTCTTGTCTGATCACTGTGGCTAAGACTTCCAGTACTCTATTGAATAAGAGTGGCAAAAGTGGTCATCCTTATCTTGTTCCTGTTCTTAAGTGAAATGCATGTAGTTTTAGATCATTGAGTATGATGTTGGCTGTAGGTTTTTTATATATGGTTTTTATTATGTTGAGATAGGATCCCTTTATTCCTGCTTTGCTGAGTGTTTTTATCAGAAATGGGTGCTGGATTTTGTCAAATGTTTTATTGGCATATTTGGTATGTTCATATGATTTATTTAAAATTTTGTTGTTGTTGCTAATACTTACCCAAGGATATTTTTCCATTGATTTTTTAGATAGAGTGGAATAGAGAGAGAAACATTGATATGAGACAGACATCTATTGGTTGCCTCCCACAAGACCCTGACTGGGGCCTGGGTTTGAACCTGCAATCTAGTTCCCTTGACTGAGAATTGAACCTGGGACCCTCCAGTCCTATGGCCAATGCTCTAGTCCCTGAGCCAAACCAGCCAGGGCTGATCATATGATTTTTATTTTTCATTTTGTATGTGATGCATTACATTATTATTATTATTATTATTATTTGCAAATATTGTATCTAACTTTGCATCCTTGGGATAAATCCCACTTGGTCATGGAGTATAATATATACAATATATTGCTGGATCCTATTTGCTAATATTTTGTTAAGGATTTTGGCATCTAGGTTTATCAGGGATATTGGCCTGTAATTTTCTTTTTTTTTTCTTTTTAGTGGCTTTATCTGGTTTTGGGATTAGGATTATGCTGGCCTCATAAAAAGAGCGTAGAAGTCTTCCTTCCTCTTGAATTTTTTGGAATAGTTTGAGAAGACTAGATGTTCTTCTTTGAATGTTTGGTAAAACTCCCCTGTGAAGCTGTCTGGACCCAGGCTTTTGTTCGCTGGGCGTTTATTGATTACTGATTCATTTTCCTTAGTGAGTCTGTTCAGGTTTTCTGACTCTTCCTAGTTGAGTTTTGGAAGACTGTATGATTCTAGAAATTTGTCAATTTTGCCTACATTGTCCAATTTTTTGGCATTTAATTGTTCATAGTATTATCTAACAATTCTTTGTATTTCTGTGGTATCAGTTGTTACTGCTCCTCTTTCATTTCTGTCCATCTTTCTTTGATCATTTTGTTACATTTTGGTACTGCAAGATATTCCAGGCTCATTTTGTACTTCCCCTGCCCAGACTTGGAATCAGCCATTTCTCCAAGAAGTCCCAGTTCCTTTTATTGGAGAATGGTATTTAGAAACCAGGGTATGGGATCTACCTGTGTCCTTTGGTACTGAGTTGTGATTCCTTCTTAGAGGACACACCTGGAGAATAGATGTATGTATACATATACACGTACATATTTTTATATTCATATGTACATTTTGTGTACCTCCTCGCCCTCTACTGCCACCACAATGTGGTTATGTCATTCACTTGACATATAGTTAGGTTCATTTGTTTCTGTTTGTTTATATTGGATTTTGAAATCCTCTTCAATACTTATAAATTGTATTTATTTTTGAATATGTAAAACATAACATTATTCCAAAAGCCAAAACTATACAGAAATATATATTCAGAGAAGTCCCACTATTACCCACAATTATTTCTGTCTCATACATACTCATGCCCTGTAGGTAACCAGTCTTTTTTAGTTTCTGGTTTGTGTTTCCTGAGCTGCTTTTTGCAGAATAAGCTGATACACAATTTCTTATTTTCCCTTTTTATTACTCTTTTGCATGTGTGCTTTTTGTTTTACTTAAAATTTTGTACAAATTACTAATATCATTCATAGATTCTCATCCTTTCTTACAGTTTCATAATACTCCATTGTGTGGGTATACTACAGTTTAACCACTCTCCTATGTGTGGGCATTCAGGTTGTTTTTGTTTTTTTTTATCCTCACCTGAGGACATTTTTCCATTTTTTGTTCAGATAGAGTGAGAAAGAGAGAGAGGAAGAGAGAGAGAGAGAAACATCTACATGAAAGGGATATAGTGAGTGACTGCCTCTTGTAGTACCCAACCAGGGCCAGGGACAAACTGCAACCGAGGTACGTGCCCTTAGCAGGAACAGAACCCTGGTCTCTCTGGACCACAGGCTGATTCTCTAACCAATGAGCCAAACTGGCTAGGGCCAGGTTGTTTTTATTGTTTTGCATTCACAATAAATTCTACAGTGACTAACCATGTGATTATGTATTTTTATATCATTGAAGGTGTGTCTTCAAAGTATATTTCTAGAAGTAGAAACGATAAACGCCTGTTGATTTTTGTTAAATATTGCCACATTTTTCCTTCCTTAGGAGTTGTACAGATTTCCCACCATCATATGGTACTGATGTGTAAGTGCCTATTTCTTTGCCAATCTGATAGCAGGGAAATGGATTCAGAATAATTTCAGTTTTCATTTCTAATATTTAAGTGAGGTTGAAAATTTTTATTAAGGGCCATGTTACGTCTTTTTTTTTTTTTTGGTGAATTGTCTATGTCTTTTGCTAATTTTTTATTAAGTTTTTGGTGTTTTCTCCTCAATTTTAAACAGTTCTTTAGATATTAGAGGTATTTACCCTTTATGGTATGTGTTGCAAATATTTTCTCCACGTTTGTCATTTGTCTTTAACTTTGCTTTATATATACACATACAATTACATGTAAATCTTTTAAAAATCTTTTATGTGGTCAAATGAGTCATTCTATTATTGCATTTGGATTTTGAGTCATAGTTAGAAAACCTTTCGCTACACCCAGGATATACAGGAATTTACTAGTATTTTTTCTAGGACTCATGAAGCTTAAATTTATTTATTCAAATCTGTGATCTATTTGAAATTTATTCTTGTGAGTAGTGTGAGGTATGACGCTAATTTTGTCTTTTTCCAAATGGTTATCCTGCACTGTTTATTAAAGTTCATCTTTGCCCCAGTTATTTGAGATGTCACTTTTATGATACACCAAATCTCTCTATACTTGGTTTATATTTCTGGACTTCTTGTTCTGTTTGCTGGCCTGTCTATTCCTGGGGGCAGTAGCACACTTTTATTTATAAAAGCTTTATAGTATGCTTTAATATCCCATATATGATTTCCTTTTCAGTGTTTTTCTAGCTATTGTTGCATGTTCATTTTCCCATATGGACATTATCAACTTGTCTAGCTCCATAAAAAATATTTTTAGTATTTTACTGGGATTGTGATATATTTAAAAATTAACTTGAAGAGAACTAATCTATTTTTAATATGTTTTTATTGATTTTTTAGAAAGAGAGGAAGGGGGAGAGAGATAGAAACATCGATGTGAGAGAAATACATTCATTGGCTGCCTCCTGCACTCCCCCATTGGGGATGAAGCCTGCAACCCAGGTATATGCCCTGACCAGGAATTGACCTGGGACCTGTCAGTCCATGGGATGGCACTCAATCCACTGAGCCACACTGGCCAGGCAAGAGAACGAATATCTTTATGGTTTTCTAATCAAGAAGAGGATATATTTCCATTTGTTCAAGTCTACTTTGTATCTTTCAGGAGAGTTTTAAAAGTTGTCCTCACATGGGTTTTGCACATTTCTTGTTAGGCTTATTTCTAAGTATTTAATTTTCATTATTGCAATTTGAATGGGATTTTCCCCTACCACTATCTTCTGTAATTGATTATTGTGTATATGAAGGCTATTTATTTCTATGTCTTAATTTTATATTCTGCTGCCTTACTGGATAAAATGTTTTGGAACAACTGGATAGCCACATGAAAAAAATTTAACCCCAACCCCTATGTCACACCATGCACAAAATCAATCTACAATGAATTATAGAACTAAAACTTCTAGAAGAAAACAGGAATATCTTCGTGATTTGACAGTAGGCAAAGTTTTCTTAGGACATAGATAAATAATATCTATCAAAGAAAAAAATCAATAAAATACACCATCAAAATTTAAAACTTATGCTAATGAAATGACATCAATAAGAAAAAAACATAGGTAAGCCATAGACTGAGAGAACATATTTACAAAACATATATCTGAAAAAGGACTGGTATCCAGGATATATAAAAAGCTGACAGCTCAATGATAT